CTGGACAGGCGGTTTCGGAGACGCCAAAGTTGGTGCCGTACTTGGGCTTGCACGTCAGGGAGGCCGTGGACCTTCGCTATTTGAAGTTCATCATGGATCACCTGGGCGTCCGAGTCTTCGAGTTTCACAGCGCGGTGATCTTCAAGTGCCAGCCCTTCATGAAGGAGTTCGTGCAGAACACGATCCAAACTCGCCGCGAGCTGAAGAAGGCCGGCCGCTTGCTCCAGGCTGAGGTGCAGAAGTTGACCGGCAACGTGCAGTATGGCAAGATGGTGCAGAATCAAGAGAAGTTCCGGAACACCTTGGTCTACACGGATCCGGTGAAGTTCCAGAAGAAGGCTGCTGGCCCTGCTATGCTGGACGTGCGCCCGCAGATCGCCGAAGACCACGCCTTCCTCGCCTTCTTGGACGTGGCTAAAGCAGGCCGCGGTGCTGTCTTGAAGTCTTTCCTTCAGGGCGGCTGGAAAGTGCTTGAGGAGTCCCGCCTGTTGATGATGAAGGCTCACTACAGGCTTCGCCTCATCTTTGATGGTCACCTCATGAAGAGCGTGGATCCGATTCTGGACTCGGACGACCTCAAACCCGAGCAGAGCAACGTGAGGTGGCTTGGTGGCGACACCGACAGCAGCGTCCTGCAGATCTACAGTGGTGAGGACCCCAAGGTGACTTTGGCGGACAGCAACTTGCTGGGCGGCTCTCCCTTCTTCGACGTGGCTGGCGATGCTAAAGGAGCCGATCTGGCGCGGCATCTGGCGCCGCTGAAGCAGGCTAGCCGAGACCTGGCCTTGCGCGAAGCTGGCGCTCTTGGCAACTTTTCAGACGAGCTGGCTCCTCACTACGGCGAGGAGTGGGTCGGCTTGGCTCCCAAGATGTACTCGCTGAAGAAGAACTGCGAGGAGTCGAAGGAGCGAGCTAAGGGGGTGCCGAAGAAGGAGCGGAAGAAGCTCAACCACGAGAAGTTCAAGGAGATCCTCGAGGTTGGTGGCGAGCATAAAGTGAGCTTTAGTCGCTTGGGCTCCGATGGTCACATCAACACCGTGGTCAACGTGGAGAAGCGCGGTCTCACGGCCTTGAACTCGAAGGTTTGGCAGCTGAACTCTCACCAGTCGAGACCCTTGGGCCACTACAAGAACAACGCCGTGTGGGCTGCTTGTTGGGAGGCTTTGCTGAGGTCTAGCAGCGGCTCCGACTCTGGCGCCTTTCACCTCATGAACCACGTGCTGTCCTTCCTCGGCGGCGAGCAAAACTTCCTGCGCCGCGAGGTCTCCAACGGCAAGTTCAAGGGGCGGCTTTTCAACACTAGCTACCTCAAGGCTTGAGGAGAGTCGTGTCTTTGCTAACTAGTTTAAGCATACTAGCATAGAGGGTTTTTACTACTATAGGTGGTTGCAGGTTACACAACGCTCCTCCAAGCTTTGGTGCTACTTCTTGACGGCTTTTTCCCACGTACAGCTAGGGATCGCTCTGTCGGTACAGTTTTGCTTTGTACAGCTTACAGAAACCNNAAAAAATCAAGGAGGAGCGACGGGGCCTGGAACAGGTAGCCTGCGAGCTTGAGCTGCTTGTCTTCCACGTTGCTCTCTTGACTGCATGGGGAAGTTGCGCCTTTGTTCTTCAGCGTCCACCTTTCTGAGGTCACGACGCACCAGTTTGCCGCCGGCCCAGCCGTCAAGCAGAAAGTAGGGTCCTCCTTCTGAGTACTCTACACGAGCCACTGTGTAAACCCGTTCGCTCCAGGCTACTTCTGTAACCCGANNAGATCCCCTACCCTCTATAGGCTTTACTTTTACCCGAACCAAGTCTCCCACATTTATTTGAGGTCTGGCTCCTGCGCCTCTCTTGGCCGTTCGCTTGAGGCGCGTTAGGGCCAGTTCAGCTTGTTCAGGATCATCGTACACCGCATTTGGAGCCAAACCCGTGGCAGCATGGGGTCTAGCGTTGTACTGCGCCAACACGTCTGGAAGTAAGAGATGCCATTGATTCCTCCGCCCCACCCCCGCAGTAAGCCTTCGCACTAAAGCTTCTTTCAGCGTCCTGATAGCTCGTTCTGCCATAGTAGCGTGTCCTCTGGAAACTACCTTATCTACGTCGAAGTAGTCTAGCTTGTCTTTGAATTCTTTCTTAAACTCAGAGCCATCA